CCCCCCCCGGCTCCCCCCTCCTGTCAGGGGGTTGCAGAGCCAGAAGGTCCCCCCTGAGCCTCCTTTTCTCCAGGCTGAGCCCCCCCAGCTCCCTCAGCTGCTCCTGCTGCTCCAGCCCCTTCCCAGCTCCCTTCCCTTCCCTGGACACGCTCCAGCTCCTCCATGTCTTTCTTCTTGTGAGGGGCCCAGAGCTGGACACGGCACTCAAGAGATATTTGGTGACAGTGTTGGAAGGCAGAGTTGCCTTCTGCTCTCTAGATACTTATGAAACCCCTTCCTCCACCTCACCCAGTATCTCTGGCTCTTGTTCTTACCTGGAGCTCTGAGCATATGTAACAAGTTTTAAATCTGCACTTTAATTCCCAGAGGAACCATCTCTTTCCTCATCACTTCCCTCAGTCTCTCTCTCTCGATGTGACAGTGCCACCAACTCTCCACAGCATTGTGGGACACTGTCCCCAGACAGAATGTGTTCCATCAGCTACCACATACCTCCAGCAGAAAGAGCTTGTCCAGTGTTTAACCTGACACTTCAGCCTTGGGGGAGAAGCCAACAACCATGGAGCTGATCCAAAAATTCCTCACGGCTGCAGAGACCTTCCTGTACAATCAGCAGCTCACCTACATCATCTCACCCCAGGGCAGAACTAGGAAAGCTCATCTTCTTTCTATGAATCACCCTCAGAAAACAGCCCCAATTAAGAGATAAAACATTGCTGCCACAACACCAACTTGTGCAGGGATTTATTTTTAGATGCAGCTTAAAATAGTGAGTGTTACCTTGGTCAGAAACATCGCCTCTGTTTTGGGAAGGGATGACATAAGAGCAGTGATACAGAGTCCTGGGAGGAGAGGCACTTCACACCCTCCCCAGGGCTCCTGCACAGCACCAAACTGAGAGAAAACACTGACAAAAAGGAGGGGAGAACGTCCAAAATTGGTCTTAACACCTCCCTGCCAATGTAGTAAGATGCCAGGGCTTAAAGAGAGGAGTGTAAAGGGATGATTCAAAGCAGTTTGGAAATGACAACATATTTCCCACTAAAAAGTGAGAGGAAAAAGCTGTGTGTAACTTTGGGACAGAGTTTTGGGTTCTGACAGCCAACCCTGGGTCTGAGATGGACCCTGATGCAATGTTGACTCTTGATTTAAGTCCCATTGCCACTGTGACACCAGGTCTCAGCCCAAAGATCTGAGGATGGTTCCTGGTGTGACACCTCCAGCACATCCTTCTACACCAGTGAAGGAACGGGAGAGCAAAGGCAAAGAGCCCTTGGCAGCAAATGTCCATCCCTGCACACCCAAACCCCAGCACAAATCCCAGGGATGGGGATGGGTTGGGGTACCCTGCCCCAAAACAGGTTCCAGCTGAGTCCTGACACAAGGACTTGAGAGGACATCCCATCCCCAGGGATCCACGAAAACCACTGCAGACAATAAAATCCCTGCCAAGAGCCCTTCTCCACAGGTCACACTGTGTCCCCTCTGCACCTCCTTGTGCTCTCTGCCCTCTCCTGAGAGCACAGGGAGGTGCTGGGCACTGGGGAGGCCACACCCTGAGTGCTGGGGTCAGGTTTGGAGCCCTCACTGCAAAAAGGACATGGAGGGGCTGGAGCATGTCCAGGGAAGGGAAGGGAGCTGGGAAGGGGCTGGAGCAGCAGGAGCAGCTGAGGGAGCTGGGGGGGCTCAGCCTGGAGAAAAGGAGGCTCAGGGGGGACCTTCTGGCTCTGTAACTCCCTGACAGGAGGGGGGAGCCGGGGGAGGGTCGGGCTCTGCTCCCAGGGAACAAGGGACAG